CGACACCTAGAATTTCGGGTCAAATTCCATACAGGTTCTTCTGAGCAAGGGGTTGCTCCGCTGGAGAGGCTGAAGCAAAGCTGAGAAAGGGAGGCTGTGCTGTAGCATGGAGTCCCGGGGCGTGTTTTGTACCTGGACATCAGGAACAGAGAGAAGGGAGAGAGCCAGGGAGATAGGATTCGAGGAACAGGAGGCAGGTGAAGGTTTGGGGTCGGAGCTAGGAGTCCCTCCACACTCAGAGGAATGGCTGCTGCCCAGCCTCCCTTCCCACTCTTGGAGAAGGGCCCTGTGCCAGGCTCTGCCAGCTCACAGGCAGCCTGCCAGGACAAGGTACCCACCTTGACAAGGAAGCCACTTTATGTGTTTTGTCTGTAATTGCTTGACCAGTCTCATCTGAGAGGCCTTGTCCATTCGGGACCTTCTCTGACCCCACCAAGCACTTCCTGCTGCCTCCCCCGCCAGCACCCTGGGCGCATATGTGGGCACACAGGACCTTTTTGACACACTGGATCCATGCCCAGGAGGAAAACTTAGGTTGCCACTGCTGTACCTGGCACTCTGCCATCTCACCCAGGGTAAACTGTGGAACATGTTCCTTTCATTCCATTTGAAAGGGGAAATTAAGGAGTGAAGTCGAACCCAACCTGGCATGCAAATAGTTGACCTTTGTTTTGAATACACTTAATGCAGCTGAAACCAAATTGTGTGGCCTCCAGCTGCCTGAATCTCCATCTCCTCTCTAGCTTTTAGGAACTTGAGGAGGTGAACAGGGGTTGGGGCTGGTAGGAGGTGCAAGCTGCTGGGATGGTGAGTGAGACACAGCCACGGTGTGGTGTAGTAGGAGGTCCCTGAGGCAGCGAGCTGACAGGTCTCATGGGCATCACAGTCTTCACTGGGGCTAAAGAGGCCCCGTTGACCTGATCCCAAGCACACTCTGCACCTGTGGGCACATCTCAGCATCTGCCCCGCTCATCTCCATCCTTACCAGCTGGAAGGAGATGATTTCCTTAACAACAGGTGGGTGGGTTTGTGTTGTTTTGTAGGAATGTAAGGGCTGAGTTAGCATATCAGTCAGACTAGGCTAGGCTTAGGTAACTGCATTGTGTGAAGGATTCAGCCCTGGGCAAGTTCACTATGGATTCAGTGAGACTGAGAAATGACAATGGAACGTTCTTGGGGTAAAAGGGTTTATACTCAGCTGCATTCTCATGGTGGTAGGTTGAAGAGCACTAGAATCACGTCTGCATCCAGCACTCAGCAGGTCCTTAATCCACATCCGTCTCTGCCTCTGTACACAGCACTGGGCAGAGATCCCAGTCAGTAATAGTTCATTGCCAGTGGGTGTGGAAGCCTTAGCCTAGCAGCAGCCTGATTACATCACCAAGTAGTTTAGGGTCAGGTGAGGATCCTGGCCATAGGAACTTCCATTTTTCCCACAGTAACAAATAAAACTGCCAGTCTCAGTGCCTTAACATGATAAAGATTTATGTCCCAGTAGTGCCATGTCCAGTGCTGGCAAGGCAACCCTCCTGCACTGGACACTGGACAGCCACACCAGTGGGACATGGCCTCTAAGGTTACCACAGCAGGTGAGGGGATCTGAGGGTCATACATAATGTGTTTCAAGGGCCAGGTCTGGAAGTGGTCTTCATCACATCCCCACTCACTCTATCTGTCCGAATTCGGATGTGTCATCCCAGCATAACTGCAGCGAGGCTGGGAGGGGTCTCCTGGCTGGTCAGAGAGAGAACATGGTGTTGCGTACTTACAACATCATCCCTGCTGCCCCCAGGATCCAACTAGGGAAACAGTGGCCCCTGAGCAAGGGCCCTGCCTGGGAAGGTTTATCTCAGGAGACCAGAGTCTAAGCTCTGGGGTCTGGCCAACCTAGGCAGACAGAAAGTCTCCTTTCAGAGCTGGCGCACTGGCCTCAGATGCCCCAGGTCTGTCTTACTAGGAAGACAGGACGTTTCCTTACATGGAATTTCCAGTTGGAAGACTCAAGGTGTTTGTGAATGAGGTTCTCCCTTCACACAAATATGTTTGTCTCTTCTGGAAACATTCAACAATTAAAAAGAAGTCAGCATTTGTTTATTCATTCAGCAAACATGTATTGAACACCCTTCTTTCCCAGACCCTGGACTGGATGCTACGGGGACAAAGACAATAAGCCCAGAACCTGTTCTCAAGCACAAATGCAACAGCATAAATGCTGGGGGGTGTCCAGCATCAATGCACTGGGTGTCCACGGAACAGACAAGGCCTCTCACCTGACCCAGGTAGTGGGGGGCATGTCAATGCAGCCTCCTAGAAGAGTCAGTGCCTGAGCTGAGTCATAACAGACATGCAGGACTTAACTAGGGGCAGGGTGGGAAGCCATTTCTGGCCAAGGAACAGTGTAAGAGAGAGGGTGATACCTTCAGAGACTGTAAGGCATTTGGGTGTCACCTCTGGGGTGAGAAGAGTGGACAGCGATGCTAGAATAGTGAGCCAGCCCAGACCCCCAAGTGTCTTGTAGGCCACCCTGAGGGGTCTGGACCTTATTCCAAAGGATAGGATTTAAAGCAGGGGAGTAAAGTATCGTGATCAGATTCGAGATTTAAAAAAACCATAAGGGCAGTTGGGTGGAAAATGGGTACGAAGGGTGAGGACAGGGCAAGAACACTGGTGAGATCAGGTTTGTGGGAGACAATGAATAGGGGTGGGGGGTGTGCAGGTGGAGAGGGGGGAAAATTTGAGAAGCAGCTGGGGCAGTGGAAGTGAAAACCCCACTGTCAAAGCTGGGGCTGGAGGTGGGGAATGGGGGTGGCTTTCCCTGACAGAGGGAATTCCTGAGAACGAATGGACAAAAGAACAGTGCATTAATTTAGGTACATAGGTACCTGTGGACAGGCAGGTGAAGGTGAACTTCAGACTGTAAGATGGCAGATGTGGTGCTAAGGAGAGAAGCATAGCGGGAAATGTAGCCCTGGGGGTGCATGAGCAAGAGGTGAGAGCTGAATGAGATCTTCAAGAGAGTGTCGGCGGAGGTTGGGAAGAAGAGGAGGACATATGGACCCTCACGGGTGAGCCGAGAAAGAGGATCCTGCAAAGGAGACTATGAAGGAACAGCAGAACTGCAGGAGGAAAACTAAGAGCATGATGATGTCACAGAACCACAGAAAAGAGGTTTCCAGCAAAGAGGGAGATCAGCCATGCCAGATATGAGGGATGTCAAGGAAGACAAGGTCTAAATGTCCGATGGTATCAAACAAGGAGATGTTTTACGACCTCGGTGAGAACGCGTCCCAAGGAGTGGCCAGAGCAAAGCCACACAGGAGCAGAAAAGGAACGAGGCTAAACCTAGACAACTCTCAAGACAGTGGGAGGGGTGGTCAAGGGAAAGCTTGTTGTTATTTTTTGTCATGTAATATTGAATAGATAAAAGGATGACCTCCATGGCATTGTGTAAGCCATGAAGCATAATGATTGAATAAACACAGAAGCTACCATCCAGCTGAAGAGATCGTGGTCAGCTTTGCTTCAGGTGGGCCTGCAGGCTTGGTCCAAGGCAGGTCGGTCTCAGGTTTGCCCCACGTACCTGGCAGAGGAACAGTCCTGAGGGAGGGGACAGGGGCTGCCAGGGCCCAGCCAACCTCAGAAGTAGCACGTAAGTGACACCTTGCCCAGATGGATCCGGGCCCTGGCTCTGGGGCACTAAAGTCGGTAACTAGGTCTGAGTGTGCAAAGACCACAGTAGGTTCAGGTTTGATAGAAATTTTAAGGCTAGAATGGACTGTCCATCCACTAACCAGCAGTTCCAGAGCCCCCCACCACAGCTACGCTGGACTGACAGGATACAGGAATATGAGCCAGGAGCCATTCCTGACCTCCAGCTTACACTGCAGACAGAAAGTGGCTGTGGTATAGAAAAGGGTCAAAGAAAACCAAGTCGTGCCTGAGCCATGGCCAAGGCTGGGAATGTGATGTGCAGGGCAGACCCCACCCTAACTGGCCCACCGATGCCCTGGCCCTGCCATGCCCTCTCCACTCTCCTCACTGCAGCCTCTGCACCTGAGACATCCTTCCTGACTGAGGATGACATTGGGGCCCTGTCTGGACAGGGAGCTAGCCAAGCAAGTCACCGTCGTGCTGAGCAAAATGTAGTCCTCGATGATGCCAAAGGCCCTAGAGTATCCTGGTGTGTCTAGGTCTCCATGACAACACCGAGGGCCTTATGTTCAGAATATTCAGGAGAGTCGTGTGGGAGGTGATCTGGGGAACAGAGGCCAGAGAGCAGACGGGTCTCTGGTGCCAGTGACTATATCAATAGGGTTATGAAGAAGAACTCTTAACTCCCAGAGGCTTAACACCTTCTCAGACTTGAGTCCTGCATGGAGCTGTGGTCTGAAGGCCAGAGATTCTGGCCACTTGCCCACTTTCTGGTTCCCTGACCTCTAGGGAACCACTTATTCTCAATGAGCTCCCTGCTGCATGAACCGGGGATGACCATGCCCTGCCAACTCATGAGCTTCTGTAAGGATCAAATGAGATGTATGTAAAGGGCTTTGTCCACTATAAAGTGAGCTATCAGACGTGGCTGCTCGGCACCCTCATAGAGCTGAGGAAAATGTGGCCTGAGGAACCCACAGAATGTTGCTTTCACACTGGGGAAGGTGGGATGAAACCCCAACCATAATTAAAGTGCGTATATCTGCATGTTCAGAGCAGGATGGTTTGTGGGACAAAAAGCTTACTTTAAACTGTGACTGGGTTCAGATCTTGCCTACTGCACTTCTGCCATGTGACCCTGGACAGACCACTTACTCCTCACTGTGATGTGGTTCAGTGATCCATGCTTCGCGGGCTTGCTGTGAACCTGAAGCGAGCTAACGTTTGAAAGCCCCCTTTTGCGCACAGAGAAGGTGCTTCATAGATGCCGGCAGTTGTGGCTGCCCTCCTGGTGCCCGAGCAGGGTGCTGTTTGTCTTAATCGCCCTCCTCTCCGCTCTGTGCCAGCAGGTTCGGCCTCTGTTTCCTCCTGAGGAGCAGCCGCGGCTCACCAAGATGTCCCGGCATCACAGCCGCTTCGAGAGAGATTACCGCGTGGGCTGGGACCGCCGTGAGTGGAGTGCCAACGGGACGCATGCGACCACCAGCATCTGCAGCGCCCCCGCTGGAGCTGGAGGCGGCACAGCCAGCAGCTTGAGCGCCCGGCCTGGCCTCCTGCCGCTGCCCGTGGTGCCCTCCCGGCTGCCCACGCCCGCCACGGCGCCCGCCCCCTGCACCACCGGCAGCAGCGAGGCCATCACCAGCCTCGTAGCCAGCTCTGCCCCCACCGTCACCACCAAGGTAAGACCTGGTGTCCTCTCTGAGCGGGAGGCCCTGCTTCCCCCACAGGCTCACAGCCTGTGGGCTGAGTCTGTGCTCTCTGGAGTGTTGGTGGCCCTGGAGCTGGGCCAGGCAGCCATTAAAGTGCACATGGTTTTATTTTCCATAAAGTCTCTGTGACCGACCTGTAGAAAGACCCATGCTGAGGTCACCCATCGCCCTATGCCATGTCGATTCAATGCTACTAAATGAGTGAAATAACAGTGGAATGCTAAGTTGGTGATACAGGTTCCCTAAATAGGTGAATTTAGACCATGCAGGTCCCCCCGGGGGCACCAGTGACTTCAGTTGGCAAGAAGATACTAGCCAGCAGTAAGTCATAACCACTCTGCGTCTATTGCCTCCTCCAAGCCCCAGTCAGCCCTGTGAGATCCTTTCGGCACCCCAGGACTCAGGTTGAGGGGGTTGAGGATACTGAGGCACACGGAGTTGGAGAGCTGGTCCAAGGTCGGACCTTCTTGAGGGACCCAGGCCTCAGGCCCCAGCAGCCAGCCTCAGGGGCAATAGCTCTAGGCCATTCCCTTTCTTCTGGGAGCCGCAGAAGCCAGGCCGCCTTACTAACTGTAGCGCTGAGCCCATTCATCGCCATCCTGTCTCCTTGGCTGAGCAGGGGCTCCACAGGCCACCCTTACCTCTGCGGCCACTTGGAGCTGCCTCCCAGGAGTCGCCCAAGGGCCCGGGTGTGTGCTTGCATGTGTGATTCTGTCTATGCCCGTGCCCACACCCTGTCTAGTCTCTCCTGCTTTCATAAAAGGTGCAGGAGAAGCTAAAGGCGGGGGGAGCCCCGGCCCAGCCATTGTGCGGTGGCTGTGGTGTTGGAAAGCCACGCTCCAGGTGTGCTGCGCCTTTGTCTCTGTGATTTTCAAAACTCCCTTTCAGCCCTGCTTCCCATTAATAATGAGAGTGCTGCCGGCACGGAGCCCGGCGGAGGCCCGAGACAATGGAGCTCTTGGAGGCCGGCTGGGAGCGCACTGACATCCTGCTGCAGCGCCTTATTGATTTTATTTTCCTGTTATGAAAACACCACCACCAAGGTGGGGAGGAAGGAATGTTGCATGAGAGAGAGGAGACGGAGGGTTATTTGGGCACAACACCCCCAGACCAGCCAAACACATTCCTCCCCAGGCGCCAGGCCCCAGGACTGCTCCGATGCAAAGACCGCTGCCCAGTGGGGCCAGCCGGCTGCGCCCTGGCCACATCTGGCAGGCATTCCGTAAGGTCAGCTGTTGGCCACCTGGAGAATGGCACCTTCTGGAGCGTCCTGCTGAGGGCTCCAGGTTGGGAGAGAGAAGCTGGACCTGGGAGCACCCTTGGTGGTTTCTGCCCTTTCAAGGATGGAGGCCATTTTAGGAACAGTGCCGGACCTCTCCTCGGGGCCGGGAGTCAGGCTCTGCCAGGCAAGGGAAGCCGAGGGGACTTTGCAGTGAGGGACTCCCAACAGGGATACAGCCTGCAAAGCTCCTGCTTTTCTCCCAAGTAGCTTGATATTCACCACCCCTTACTGGCCAGGCCCCAAACCACAGCTCATGGGAGGAAGGAAACACAGTCTCAGACAGAAAACAGCAGCTGGGCAAGGACTGAGCAGGGTGACCTGGAGGGGTGGGGGGCGAAAGTTCATGCCTGTGAGGACAGCCAGCTTCCTGGCACATTTTCCCCTGTAACCATCTCCAGCCCAGTTTCCTACCTGCAGGGGCGTGTCCACTCAAACAAAGGTGCCTGATTAGCCCTGGATTCTTCAGGGTGCGCAGAAGAACTGGGTGTGCATGGGGGGAGGGTGGACGGCAGCTAACAGCAGCTTCTGCCCAGGACAGTCATTGACTTTGGGCCGTGGTGCCTTTCTGCTATTCGAGCTGGCCCCCCAACGCCCGGCCCCCGGCCCATTCGTCTAGCCCCACACCGGTATACCGCAGCAGTTGACTGGGAGGCCCGAGCTGAGGTGTCTGTGGTTTCCCTGGTCAACAGCTTCATCTTTCCCGAGCAGCCAAGGGCTGACCTTTGCCCTCAGGGAGCTCATAGGGCCAGGAGGTGACAGTCTCTGGCCTGAACAGTATGACCAAATGACCCAAGAATGTCTCTCCCATTGAGGTCATTGGCAGAGGCAGCTTAGTGGAGTGGATAAAGGCAGACTTTGGGACCACACTGCCCGGGTTTAGATTCCGCCCTGTCTCTTGCAGGCTAGGTCACCCTGGACAAGCCGCCTTACCTGTCGCCTCTGTGAAATGGGAATATGTAGTAGCACCTACCTGCCAGGGCTGCTGTGAGGGTTGTGAGTCACAACACGTGTAAAGTGCTCAGAGCAGAGCTGAGCCTGGCATATGTAAGTCCTCTTTGGGTGTGTCATCGCCACCATCACCCCGGCAAGGCCTGTGTGACAAGGCCATGTGCCTATAAGGAAAAGTGAGCATTTCTAGCCTCACCAAAAGAAAAAGCGAAATCTTCAGATAAGAAACAGGCTCTAGGCTCCAAGCAGGCAGAGAAAGCAAATTGTGTCTCCAAGTGGTTGACCTTGTAACATGGAGGCCTGACATGGCCCAGGTGACAAGACGGCAAGAGGGGCCAGAGGGAAGAGGGCAGCTCATCCTCCATGAAGGGTCTCATGCCACACACATGGACCGAAGTGGCTCTGGGGCCTCAGGAGAAGGTCCTCCCGAAGGTGAATCTCAGCAACAAGTGTCAGCACAGTCAGGCCTCAGCATCCCCCTGGGTGGGCATGGAGCGCAGTGAGTGTCACGTGCAGCCACCAGCGTGCCAGGCCATCACCACTAATGTGGAGACACCTGCCCCATCACCGCCTCTGCCAGCCCTGTGGTCCTGGCCACCAGCTCCCTCCCTGTGCTGCAGCATAGGGGACAGTCCCTACTCTCCTAGGTGGGGAAGGCTGGCTGTGCTCCCCACGGCTGATTAGTGAGGTGATAACAATTCTTTCTGTCACTGCTGCCTTTAGGCCTGAATTGATTTTTTTGTTTCTTCATGTTTCTGTGGCCTAAGGATTTCTTGCAGGTTTTTGACAAAAGGGCAGTCAGAGTCAGACAAACAGATTCCTGGGCCACTGAGGCATCTGCAGGGCCTGGCCAGATACACACACAGACACAGGCACGCACATGCACACACACCCGTGGTTCAGACCAATAAACTGCTTCCCAGGGATCTGAATCAGCTCGTGACGCTCTGGGACACAAATCCCCAGAGCCCAGCAGGAGCGGAGTGGCCGTGCCCTCCAGGCCTTCCATTTTTCCGGTCAGAAGGGGGAAGCCTAAAGGAAGCAAAGCCTTGCAGAGGTCAGAACCACCAGGCTGGCTCCTTTCCCACCCCCTGTGGCCGGGCACGTTGTGTTCCGAGGATAACCACTGCCGCACTGTCCTGGTGACTCTGCCCATCCTCTCACCCACCAACCCGACAGCAGACACCAAATGGGCGCATTTACCTCTTGTGATATAGGTGGGAAAATACAGGCCAGAGCGTTTGCCAACTGCACATTGCACAGCTGGTGAGAATTTCAAGGTCTGGAGTCAGGCACAACAGGGTTTGAATCCTACTTCTGCTACTTAGAAGCTGAGTATGTCTCTGAGCCTCAGTTTCTTTGTCTATAAAATGGGAAAAATAATTTCTTCCACATGGAGATGTTGTAAGAATTGGTTAAATTACTAAGTGTGGAAAAGCTTAGTGCCTGCCACTTGTTAGGCATTCAATGGAAGCTAATTCTTAAAAGATCAGAGATGAAGTTGAACCAAATATTCATACATTTGGGGAGATTTCAATGCCCCTGGAGTTGGTGCTGGTAGGCAGAAAGGAGGCTCACTGGACTGTCCCCTGTCCTGCCTGATGTGGCATGAGGTGACGCTGAAATAGCCCCTGCTCCTGGGCCCCCACCGCCACTGTGGGCTTCAGGCCTCCAGGCCCCAGCAGGAGGTGGGCGCTGAGAAGTAGGAACATGACTCCCCGGCCAGGCCTGTTTGTGGGATGCAAAGGAAACATCACTGCCCCTCAGTTGCTGCTGCATGAAATTTAAATTAGTCTCAGCAAACCTGCTTGACAGATGGAACAGAAAAGGGACGGCTTCATAAAATGCAATTTTGTTCTTGAAAGAATGGACTTTGCAGAACCCTCACTGATGTCTGTAAAATGTATTGGAGGCTTTTTTTCCTTGTGGTCAGGAGCACTCATGCTGAAACATTCCCATCATTCCTTGGAGCGAAGCCCTTGAAAATAAGTCTGGGCTGGGAAGACAGGGACTTAGCTTGTGTCAGAGGCCCCAGGAAAACTGCAAGGGGCCGCGCAACCTGTAGGCTATATCCTCAGAGCACCTAACACCCAGATTTTTGACATGTATGAGTATTTGGGGCTTTCAGGGTGGATATTTGTCATCATACTCACATGACCCAGGAGTTGATGTCTTCCTCATGCACCCCAGATTTTCGGAGAAATTCTGCTCTTGAGGGAGGGGATCAAGGATCCCTGACCCCAAGGCCCCACATGGCAGGTCCTTCCTCTCATGTGGTTCTGGATATCCATGGATGGGTAAAAGATGCTTTTGCACAGTTACGGAATGAGAAGCAGACTCCCCCTGCCTTTCCTCTTTAATTCACATTGATAATCAAAGGCTGCAGCATGGGCTCAGTTGGGAGAATCACTCAAGCCCCTTTTGTAGTGAATTTCCAGACCCTGGGTGATTTTCTCCAGAAGACTGCTCCTTGCTCTGTGAATGAGAATTGTGATTTCCCTGGTAAGAAATTATCAGGCACTGATCATGCATTGTGAGACAGTTTGTGCATGTTCGTGCCGAGCACTTTGAGTTGCAGCCATGGTTGGGATTGTATCTTCATTGACTTAAAACCCATCTGTCAGTCACAAAGGGTGTACAAAATTGAAAAATGCTACGATTTCCAAAGCACCCATTTGAAAGCCTGCATTTAGGGATGGTAAACCTGAGTGGCTCAAACTTAAATTTCTGATTAAGGGGG